GATGAAACAGAGTAGGTGCCCCTCGACACCATGCCCGAGGGCGCCTCCTCAGCTGGCGTCAAATAAAATTGAATTTCCTTCTTGGGGGGATAGGAGCCAACCATATGCGTCATTTTATCCACTGCGATTAAGCATTATAAAAATATTATAAATATTAATGTATATCCATAAAAAGCTACGAAACAGGCTTACCAACAACTTAAAGCAATAAAAATTAATTATCCAGTATGTGTTAGGCATTAAAGTTATAAAGATATATTGTTAGTATTGTCTCAGCACATTATTAAAGTAAATATTGCAAATGTTATTAGCACTATGTAAACTACACTAAATATGCCGCACAGCAAAGCTGTGCCATCGAAACTGCTGCCCATGTTTATTATAAAACAGAAATGTGCTTTGCGTGAAGGTATAAAACATACTAACTACCTAGTTAGGTGGGGCACGACAAACCCAGCCGGCCATGACAATCTAAAGCCCTAAAAGTGCGGTAGAACCAAACGGCACTGACCAAGTGTTACACAAGCATGATTAAACATATTCTTAGCCATGTTTAGTTTCATGTATATACAATACATGTTTACTATAAATAAAGAATATCTGTTTATCAAGAGACAGATTCAATTTCTTATTTTCTATGAACGTATCGGTAACAAGCAATTGTTATGTTGTTTATTTTGCGAACGATATGCTTACCTGGCACTCCCATTCGATAGGTCTTTTGCACATACTTAAGGCCATGAACAATTTCGCGTTGCACGATAAAATCGATGCGCACCTTGTATTGAACACCTTCCTTAATCACAAAGATCTACGGAGAAAATCCAAAAATCAGTCAACTCTACATACAATGGTATTATACAAAAACTCACCTGCTTTTTTAGATGGCTAATATCTCCACTCAAATCTAATTCCATATCGTCGCGTCCCTCAACGACAAGCGCCAGTTTCTTAACAATCACCTTTCGGGGATCATTGGGATCTATTTTATATAAATTTAAAAGAACGCACAGCTTCATTAGTCTGTTATCAATATTTGTGCTACTATATATTTACCAACGATTATAGTCTCGGTTTGAGCTGCACCCAACAAAGCCTCCTTATAGCGACGCAAACTTTCATCTTCCTGATCGGCAGCCATTATCTCCTCAATTGTCTTCTCGGGTGGAGCCTGATAGTTGGCATCATGCACATCGTCATCATGTGGGTCGACATGTTGGTGCGTCTCTGTTTCAGCCATGGCGATCTAACTGAAAATATTAATATGGAACATCAAAAAATTATAAGTTTTATATGAATGCAAATATACCATTGTAATCAATAACTTATATATAGCTTCTTTTCTGTTATCCATCGCATCACTTAACTGTCTAAACACTATTTGTATATATATACTCCAGGTACGCAAAAGTTTGTATAATTTCCTCTCGTTCAATAATATTGATTAAAATCGAATTATTAACGCATAAGTGAACGCCGCTTAGCCACAGAAAGAAAGCTTGCCAACCCATGGATGCAGCTGAGCTCGTATGTAAACATAAATACATACACATATACTAAACATATACACATACATAAATATATATATATGTACATACATATATTGACCTGGCCGAATACGGGCCCGCATGGGCAGATAAGGCAAAAAACAAAAAAATATACATATATACATATGTATACACAGCAATAGAGCGAAAAGGCATGAGAGGGCGCTCGACCGGCATTGAATAATATTGACCAGAATGGGTTGGCTGCTATCGCCCCCCACACGCATACACAGAGTCACACACACATACGTATACACACACACACATTTAACATTTCGTTTTTTATCTGGTTTCTGTTGTTATTGTTGTCATTGTTGTTCATTATCTAAATACACGTTGCTTAGCTTTATGCCCATTTCCTTTTTTGTAAAACATTTAGTTTGTTCGTTTTCAATTACAATTTACTTAAATGGTTTTCTATATGCATAATGTACTAATTAAAATATAGCTGCTGACTTATTGTGGGCATAATAATAATAATGATTGTAATTCTGACGCATGACCAGCGACAGACGAGATAATAAATTTGTATTTGTATACAGTTTTGTATGTTTTACTTCTGATTTTTAGTATACATATTACTCACAAAAAAAAAAAAATTCTAAGAAAAAACGTTTTTTGCAACACGAATTCCAGTTTGCCATTGTGTTTGAATTGGAATTACGAAACGAAAATTAATTAAGTGTGAATGCAAAATAAGCAGGCCAAAGGCAAATTGAAATTAGAACACTCAGAAACAAGCAAACCACACGATCAAAAGAAACAAATTTCAAACACACACAAATTCAGACAAGCAATTGATCGAAGAACAATGGAGAAAAAATAGCTTTGACGACCCCCCGTCAAAACTGTGAGCAATGCTGACCGAGGAAATTGTATTCAAGGAAAGTAACGCAGCGATGACGCTGCTTCTGCTTAGACAGCCTGATAAAATAATGCACGGCACGGAGCGGCAGAGACCCAGACGCATGAATCACACACACTAACACAAGCGCATACATCCGCACCCACACGCATTGGCCGCATAGGCCGGTGTTCTCCGATTATTGGCCAGCAAAATATTTTCGGGAGTGGCATATCTATGGATGGCAGAGATAAGCGTTTGTTTCAAGAATTTGTTAACTCAATATTGTTATTTAGCCTGCACACACACACATGTAATCACATGTATAAGTTGTTAATAACAACTCACCTCTCTATTCTTCGAATATAGCTTTCTAAATTTGAAAACGCGAATTTTTTTCCACAATATATTTATAACACAAATAATTTTAATACTTTGATATAAACAAGAAAAACAACAAAAAACGCGCAGCAAAAGGTGCAAGCTGTGACAATCTGATAGAGATGAGTGAGGACCTTCTTTACTCGATACTTTAGAGAAAATACAAACTTATCGACTTATCGAGTCGTACATTTTGAGTAACTAATAAATAGCAATTTTCCTATAGATATAGCAAGAATTACTGTAAATATTAAGTAAATTTCAGTTTAATCCATATAAACCTGGTTTTAAATAATATTCAGATACTAATTAACCGATTTTAAGAAATTGTATCTAATTTTTAATCTAGCGCGTACTTTAAATGCGCTGTTCTGAAAGTAATCGTGAATGTAACTAACAAAAGCAGAAACAGCTGTAGAGAGATTACTTCATCGCCGCATTAAAGTCTTAACAATAATCAACACAAAATGCAAACTTCCCAATACTTAAATCAATTACACACCGCTGACAAATTGTCCGAAGAACCCTGGCCAGAAGATGCGACGCTCTATCAGGTAAACGGAGAGCAACAAAATAATATTAAATATTTATACATATGTTTTTCTATTCCCTCCAGCCCTTCGAGGCGGAGCAGATTCTATTACCAGAGAGCGCTAGTTGCTTGGCTGTGAAAGCATATTTAAAAATGTGCAATTTGCCATTTGGTATACGCACTTGCGCCAATGCGGAGCACATGTCACCTGGCGGTCGAATGACCAAACTACCGTTCATCCGCGCGGGTGCATTTTTATTTGCGGAGTTTGAGCCAATTGTGAATTTTGTGGAACAGAAAGACATGGCCATAGGTAGCTGGCAAGATGAGGATGAAAAGGCAGATATGCGCACATATGTCTCGCTTGTAGAGAACATCTTTACTATGGCGGAACTGTATGTGAGCTTTAAAAACGAACGAGTCTACAAAGAGGTCACTGCACCGCGAAATGGAGCCGTTTATCCGTGGCCATTGAATGTAATTCAAAATTATAGCAAACGTCGCAATGCACTGCGTCAATTGAAGGTCTATCAGTGGCACGATCTGGATATCGATCAAGTCATTGATAAAGTGGCCAAATGTTGTGAGACACTCGAATATAAACTGAAGGAATCACCAGATACACCCTTCTTCTTTGGTGACCAGCCTTGTGAATTGGATGCCATTGCCTTTGGTCATTTGTTTACGATCTTAACAACAAGGCTGCCAAACATGGCGCTGGCGCAGACTGTACAAAAATTTGGCCATTTGGTTTCATTTTGTCGCTTCATCGATGAGAAATATTTCCAAATGAGGTGCTTGCAAGAGTAACTATTTAATGGTTCACGCTCCTATCATTTTGTATATAAACGATGTATGACAATATCATATTAATTTGTTTAAGTTTCGCTTATTTTTAGCCCTCAATCGTACTGTTAATATTTATGTTCAGCATTTATCCACAACACTTTAAGCATTTACCATGCTTTGTACAATACAATTACCTTAATGCAGTTAATTTTTAATTTGTATCACGGCTTCGCTTCAACAAACCCAAACTTGAATTTAATATTATTGGATTTCGATTTAATAACTCAATACATTTTTTTACAGCAAATAAATACTTTACTCCTGGGCGCAACTAACAAATATTTTTTTCAAAAAATTTGAATGAGTGTTGATAATAATTGTTAAATATTTTTTATAATAAATGCTACATTAAAATGAATATTAGTTTAATTGAAGTTAATTGGTATATTTAAATCGAAGACATAGTCGACCTGTTATTCTGTTATGCAAAGCTTGGGAAGATTTTCTACCGTTCAATATAATCACTCAACACTTAACGGTGCTTCTATGTATGTACATATATCGAAAGGAAATGGAATTTGCAATCAAACCCAATTAACTGGATTTTACTAAATCAAAAATGGATTGACTAAATGGTTGCGTCTGTTTCCCAATTACTGACGCCAACAGAGTGATACGATTGTGAAATACTGTACTTTGTTGTCTCCGTTGCCTTTTTACTATACAAATTCTGCAAATCAATGAAGAGCTCCCTTAATCTAAAATACAGATAATTAGTATTAACTGTAATAGCTATAAGCCCACAATCCAGCTCCGTTCGCACAGTGAAAAGAAACATATCAGACTTTAATGAAAAGGCAAAAATTGGGTGCACTGTAAAAATATATATGCAACATTTTATTCAGCGTAGCTTAAATAGATTTTTGTTTATTCATTTCCTAAATGGTTTGATGGTTTGCATTTCGCTTTTCTGTAAACATTTTCAGCGCTAATTTACATAATATAATTTATAAATATTGAACTCGTATGGAATTCAATAGAATTGCATACATAAATTCATTTTGCAATGTACATAGTGTGTTTTTATAATATTACAATCATACGTAATTATTACAATTGTTTAAATGGAAATATATGCATCGTAATCGTTAAGTATCTTGCATTCAAATATATTTATAAATATGTATATATATTTGTCACTGCATTTAATGATTATTTGGTACCTCAACTGTAAAATTGATTTGTTTATTATTATTTACTTTTTTTTTTTGTTTTTTTTTTTTAATGTTACTGAACACGTTACTAATGTCCAATACGCTAAACGGTACACAATTAACACAACACAATAATAATAAAAATAATTATAATAAAAAATTATTCATTTATGGGGGAGGTCGAAAATCGAATTTGTATAAAAAAAACTCTAAACACCAAACCAGTACATCAAACGAAACGCCTTCTTCCTCGATTGCCTCCTTTTCGTCCTCTTCCTGATGCAGTTGGTTTCTCAGTTGCAGCAACAGCAGCAGCGCCGCTTGCGTCAGCGCCTTTCGTACTTGGTCACTGGCACAGACAGACGCGTGCGCAGTCCATGGGACGGTGCTGCGGTGCTGCTGCTGCCTGCGCTGCTGTTCGACCTGCTGCGCTCCATTGCGGAGCGACGCCGCTTGTTGTTGTTGCTGTTGATGCTGTTGCTATTATTTGCTGGCAGTGAAAGATTATTGCTTTTGTTGCGCGTCGATGATCCGTTACCAGTGGCGTTGCCCTCGCTGTAGCGCTGCCTTTTGCTGATCACAGCAGTATCTGTATGTGTGTGTGCGTAAGTGCATGTGTGTGAGAGAGAGTGTGTGTGTAAAATAGTTGGTAACATGAATGCAAAAGTTAAATGCGATTTACGAATTACATTTTCTAGCTTAATTATCTTTAACGGGGGAAGTAGCACTCCCAGTTACACCAACATCAACATCAACATCATCCACATCAACATCACCATCATCATCATCATCATCATGATCATCATCATCAATATCATCATCAACATGAACAGCTGCTTCATCAACATCATTAACACCATCCCCATTGCCATTCTCATTGTCATTGCCATTGTCATTGTCATTGTCATTGTCAGCAGCCAATACCTGCGGCGCATCCACAGCGGCCAGTTCTTCCAACTGTTCCACATCAGCCATTTCTGCTGTTTGCCAAAGCACATTGTAAAACAAATGTAAATCCGAAACAAACAAAAGATGGAAAACAAAGAGAAAGAGAGAAAAAAACATTGGGCAATTTGCCATGATAATAATAAATTTTGATTCAAATTTTGAATAAGTTTTTGGTTTTTTTTTCTGGTTTGCTGGTCATTGGCGTTATCAATGAGAACTTCCCATGGATATGACGATGACGTTGGCGCAGTGATCCTTAAGATGTTAGTGTAAGAGCATGTATGTATATAAATGAATTAGGCATATGGTAAGAAAATACATACAAGTTGTAAAAATAAAAAAAATAAAATAAAATTATAGGCTCTTACTGTCTTTAGTAAAGAAAAATAGAATATAAAAGTAAAGAAAAAAGGTGTTGTAAAAGGAAATGTAACGTAAAACACTTTGGAATTTGGGATAATATACGAGGTGTTCATGGCACTCAATGCCTTACGCTGAAACTGAGTATGGTGAAGCAAAATGAATTGATTATGATGAATAATGAATGTTAGGTGATTGAGATTTGTTAGGCCCTCGAGGGGCCGACACTTACCTTTAGCGGGCAGTTTGCGTTTGGCTAAAGAATTGGGTGTTCTGCTGTCGGACGCACTTAATCGTCCGCCGTTGGCATTCCGCTTGAGACCCGGATCAGAACGTCGTTCGCGAGTAGTAGCCAAATTGGCAGTGATTGGTTGATCAGCACTCTTTTTGGCCACATTCTTGCTGCTGTTGCCGCCATTGGTGGACAAACTATCCTGGTCAAGTGCTGCTGCAGCTGCGGCGGCTGCAGCATTGGCTCGCTTAAGATTGGCCGGCATGCGTTTGGGTGGCTGCATGGCGCTGGCAGCGTTGCCCGATGAGGTAGTTGCTATATCATTGCTGGAGCTCGTCGCTGGCTTCTGTGGCGATCTTTGCTTCAGATCGTCCTGCTTCTTGTGCATGCCCACATCCAACCAGTATTTAAGTTGCGCCTCACGCTGTCGCTGCATCAGCTCCTGGCCAGCGGCATATTTGCTAAGCATCCCCTGTAGCTTCTGCACAGTCTTGTAAACTGTCTCTGCCGCAATCAGGCCGTAATCGAACAGCGAGCACATGTGCAGTATAAAATTGCGATAGAGATTCTTACGTACAATCTCATGACCCTTGGCATCCAGGAACATTTCGCAGGCCAATGGCAGCTGGCAGTCACCTACGAAGCCATGGCGCATCACATGCAGATTCCAAAGTTTCATTAGCTCCTTCTCGCCTTCGTTGACATCGGAGAACTCATCAATCATTTGAATGGTCTTTTGGCGCAGCCAAAGTGGATCGCTCTCGCCTTCCGAATCAATGTCCAGCTCTTTAGGATGCACCGGCAGGCAGGTCTCCGTATGATGATACAATCTATATCAATTATATATCAATTTTCATCATAATTATTATTGTAAAGTGGATTCCTCACCTATTGTGCCCGGTTATGTATGAACGCTGATTGCTAATGTCATCCTCATCCAACTCTAGGAATTCATCGAGGCAGGTCTTTTGGCGCCTGGGCCTACACACCATCAAGCTAGTGACTGAGGTGCGTCTTACCGGACCACAGGTGCGTGCAAACGAAGAGCCCGATGGTCCGGCCAAATCATAGGGTGACCCGGCATAAGATCCATCGTAGGCATCATTAATGGTCACATCGATACGAGCACCGCTGCCCGCCGGCTGATACGTAAAATTGAAGCGCGCATGGCACAACTTGAGATGCTTTAAAAGCGCATACAAACGCAGACAGTCTAATCCACACCATGGACAGTTCAACTCCTGTGTATACTCCGTCTGTTGACGCGTGTTGTTGCTGTACATAAAATTGTATACGATTTGTATGAGCTCCGGAACTGCTTTGCAGACACTGCCATTCTTAAGGCCATTACAATTGTTGTTGTTATTATTATTGTTATTGTTGTTGTTGATATTGATGTGGTCTACATCGGTATCCAAATGCTGTACATAACTTTGTATCTCGGATGCTGCAATAATGTCGGGTAACTGCTCATTCGACAAAGTCAAATGGAATTTGAGCATAGGACTCTGCTGATACACATCGTAGGTCAATGAAAGTGGAATGTAACTGTCAGGCATGGTCTCCCAGGTGCATTTCTTTGGTGAGAACGATTTAATGCTCGACGAATTCAACGGTTGGAGCATTGCCTCGTATTCGCCCTCAGTGATAAAACCACTCGACTTTTCATACAATATTAACTCCGAGCCATACATCTTCTCATTGCTGCGTGATCGCTTGTTGGGCGGCGTTGCTGTTGGAAAGTTATTCACATAAGTAATCTATATTTAGCTACGTTTCTCTACACTATCTCACCTGCATTTTCATCATTGCACGTCTGTGGCTGCATTTTGATACGAAAGAGCAGCTTGTACAGCGTATGCTGATCGCCCATGGGTCGCATTGTCTGCAGAGGGATGCTAATGGTTGCATGCTCATTGACGCCCTCAGTTGGATTGTATACTATTTGGCAGCTCTTGCTCAACAGCTCCTGAAAATCCAGTGTGCTGTCCTTACGCTTGCTGCGCGTGATCTTATAGAGTGTTGTCTCCACACAGACCCTCTCGCCCGGCTGACAGAGTAGCTGATCCTGTCCCTGCCTCAGCAGATCATCGGTGTCTTGTGGCTTGAGCTTTTCGTGTAGCGAATCGTAAATTATATGCAGGTAGTTTTGGGGTACAGCCTCAGACTTTTGTGTGATCATGTCCAAAATAGAGTCGATCTTGAAATTTGCACGTTTTTTGTTATTTCGTGACATACGCTCCTTCATATAACTAAGTGTCCGATTTAGGAATATGGGCTGCATAATGAGAACACACAAAATATACCTCGATTCGTATGCAAAAATAAATAATAAGCTTACGTTTGTTTCGTGCCGATTGCGTAGGTAGCGATAGATTTGTGTGGGTTCTGCAAAAGTTTATTGATTAGTAACACTGCAGCTGAGCATGCTGGGAACATTTCAAACATACTTTCAAATGCCTGTAAAAAGAGTTCCTGCTCTTGTTGGTGTCCATTCAGTTTCGCATGGGTTTCATTGTGGTTTGTTGTTGAAAGGTTTGATGCTGCTGCCGCTGCCGACGCTGGCGCTGCCAACGCTTCGTTTGTGACCGCATCTGCATGTCTACTTCCATTATTTAGCCCATTTATGTTGTTTGCCACAACACCCGCATTATCGCCATTGTCCCTTTCACGTTTCTTAGTGGGTGCCATTGTTTTGAGGGGGAGGCGGAGGGTGCTACCTTTGCCTCAGTCGTTTTACAAACGCACCGCCGCTGCACACACACGCACTAACACACTTTGCCCTGCTGCCTGCTGTAGCGTTGCTGCACTTTCAGCAAACACGAACTATCGCTGCATTTGTTTGTTAACACATTTTTATGTTTTGTTAAGTGCGTGAATTTTGTTTATTTCTTTTTTCCGTAGGTTGTTGCGTGTTTTCGCCTTTTTTCTTTTTCGGCGCGAAACCGTATGCTTTGTGCAGCGTTTCTGGTGTTATTATAGGAGCCGTGTCACGATACAATTGAATGATGCGAGCTAATAAACTTAATATTTGGCTATATTGGAGTCGAAGTCATTTTCTGATATATTTTAATTGTATTACGATTGCTGCTAGTTATTTTGTTACACGAGTCAAACTTTAATTAAACCGAAGTAACTATTTATTTCTAAGAATACAGAAATCGTACCGTGCAAGCGGCCTTTCTGCTGAAACACACCCCCGCGGTGTTTTACAACATTGTATTTGTCTAAGTTTTAATTCAGCAATTATATTATTATTTATATTTAAGAGATCCTTATAATGGTTTCAATTCTTAAAACGGCTAATATATTTAGTTTTATAAAACAACCGAATTTATGTTTGTAATATTTATTTAAAAAAATATACATAAAACATTGAATACATTGTCAGCTGTTTTCCAGTGTTGTATTTCGATGAATAGCAGTCTCATATATTAATATAAAAGCGTGCGCTGTTGATTGAGCTTTGAGTAGCCTTTACAAAATCGTCTTAGTTTTTAAAGTAAATAGGTAAATATTGATATGTAATACATTTGCGATCGTCCCTTTACACAAGGGAAAATAGATAAAAGATCAACAGTAAATAATAACACTGAGTGATAGCATGATGTCAAGTTGCAAACACACACGCACTCATACATACAATTTCGAACAATGCCTTTGCTAAATTTTGTTAAACAAATTATTTTACAGGCCCCAGCCGGCAACTGTTTAAAATTTTGAAGAATTCTCTGAACAGCTAAGCATCTATCGTACAAAATGGATAAAAATAGCACAGCCTTGTATAAAAAAATGCAAGCCGAAGTTGAGTCATATCAAAACCTGCAAAAATGTAAGAAAATTAAAAATATTGTCTGCAGAGTGTGCCTCTTATATGTACATTCTTCATTTACAGCTTGTGTTAAGGTCGTAAAGCAGCGAGCACTTCTTGAGAGTCAGCTAAATGAAAATAAGTGTGTACTAGATGAATTAAATTTGCTTGGCCCCGAAAACAAAGTTTTTAAGCTGTTTGGCCCCGTTCTGGTGAAACAGGATCTGGAGGACTCTCGGCAAAACGTTGCCAAACGCATTGAATACATCTCTAAGGAATTAAAAAGCTCCACGGACACACTAGAAAATATGTATGTTAACTAATTTCCATTACCTATGAAATATATTAATTGTTTTTGTTTTGCAGGGAAAAGGATATGCTGAAACATCGCGAGGCTGTCTCTAAATACCAACAGCAATTTCAAGTCGCGGCAGCCATGAAATAATAGGAACTGCTTTAATCATTATTTATTACATTTTGTCACTTTGAATAGACATACGCATTGAAAATCAAATAAATACAGTTGAACTTAAACACAATCATTTCTATTAGTAAATATATTATTTCAATGTTTCTAATGTATATTTTTGTATGCCTATTTCCCATTTGTTCCTCTGTTAATGTCATAGCGATAATATCGAATTTCGATAACATTTATAATATCAGTCTCTTGCATCCCTGGTGGGTGTGCGAGCGAGATGCATTAATCGAGACCATTTAAAACACTGAAAATTGTACCACAAAAATTGCCACGAAGAACAGAACTCTCTTTAGTGCCGCATCAAAATTAAACAATTGAAGCTGTATTGTCAGCAAACTAAGTCTTTAGCATATTTGTTGCGAAAAGAGTTAAAACAATGGGATCAAGTCACAGCGTTCATGTACCCGGCGGCGGCACCGAAGGTAAATTACCACGTAAACTGTGTCAATTGCTCTAGAAGAATTGACAACCAATCATATGCATACACGCACACACTGACGTAAACGAAAAATAAACACAATTTCTGTATTTTCAAACACAACAATAGGCTACCACGTACTCAAGGTGCAAGACAACTCGCCTGGCCAAAAGGCTGGCTTAGAGGCGTTCTTTGACTTTATAGTAGCCATAGCAGGCACACGACTGGACCAGGACAACGATATGCTAAAGGAGCTACTACGTCAGAATGTGGACAAGCCGGTGCGCATCACTGTCTATTCGAGCAAGACACAAACCGTTCGCGAGCTGACACTGACGCCTAGCAACAGCTGGGGTGGCCAAGGACTGCTGGGCGTTAGCATACGTTTCTGCTCCTTCGAGGGTGCCAACGAGAGTGTGTGGCACATTCTGGAGGTGCATCCCAACTCACCAGCCGAATTGGCGGGTCTTCGTGCCTACAGCGATTATGTGATCGGCGCTGATGCCATTCGCCATGAGAACGACGATCTATTCACATTGATAGAGACGCACGAGCAGCAGCCGCTCAAGATGTACGTCTACAATCTGGACGATGATGCTTGCAGAGAGGTTACCATCAAGCCGAACACGGCTTGGGGCGGCGAGGGAGCTCTTGGCTGTGGCATCGGCTATGGCTATCTACATCGCATACCCGTGCAGCCTGCACCTGCCCCGGCTCCTTCAACGGGACCTGCTGCCGCAGCTACGCCCAGTGGCCAATCGAATCCTGTTACGTCGTCTGTTGCACCCACCAACAGTGCTGTTGTCGCACCAACGTTGCCTTATATACCGCCGCTGGCAAACACATTTGGCTCGACCAACGCTGAGACTCGGCCACCTACTGTTGAGCCTCCGGCACAGAGCATATTCAAGACCTATTTCAATCCGGACGATGCAACGGATGCATTAAGCGCAGCACTTGAGAATCAGGCTACAATTTCTGAGCCCCAGGTTGCCGCCCCTCCCGGCAACATAGCACCGCCTACAGTTCCAGCTCCAGCTCCAGCTCCAGTTACTGTTGCTGCTACTGCTGTTGAGGCTCCAGCAATATCACAGCCACAGCAGCCACTTGCACCACCAGCGAACATCTATATACCCGGCGTCTACGATCCCAATGTCCCACAACAGAGTACGAATGTGAGCGTTGGCGGCATACCGGCCGCCCAATTGCCATTCCCACAAGCAACTGCAGCAACTTTGCCACCACCAGCCGTGCCCATGTTCTCGGTGGCCGGATTGCCGCAGCAACAGCAGCAGCAGCAGCAGATCTACATGACTGCACCGGCAGCTCTGTCGTATCCAGCTGCTGGGGCCGCTGCCCAGACCGTGCCCACGTATCCTCAGGTGCAGCCATCTATGGGCGGTCTGTTTCCTACTCAGCCAACGTCGCTGCCGCCGCAGATGGCGCATGCCTTTGCGCAGCCGCCCCAGCAACAGCCGCAGCCGCAGCCACAGCCGGCGCAAGCAGCAGCAGCAGCCAGCACTGAACAAACACAGCTAGGAGCACCACCACAAGCAGCAGTGGCCGCACCACCACCTGCGATGTCAAGTGCTTAGGTTCCACTCAACAGACACTTGCGTTAACCACTTTGAACTTCTGTACGTTGTTGGCGTCTGCATAAATTGTCGTTAAGTTTAATAATATGATTTGTTTTTATGATTCTGATTGCGATGAGCCGAAATCACGAGTGACAGCTGTCAAACATTTCAGTGCAAAATGCATAAATATAAAGCGATACATTTACCTTTACATTTATTCCAAAAAAAAAACGAAATATATATTTATATATATATATATATTAATATACACATGTATGCACGCTATATATGTGTATATATGCAAAGTACTGTAACATATGAATAAATTTTGTGTGTGGAAAGAAATGCAATGCGCAATGCGAGCTACATCAAGGATTAGTAAACAATTTTATTACTTGTGCAATGTTTAATGATGTCTTTTAATTCTCTATAAGATATATGCTTTTTACTATGTAGATTTACTTTACCCATTATCCCGTCATCTCTTTTCCTAGCTGTGGGACTAGATGATTTGATGAATTTGTTATGTCTAGGTTTCCCATATGACTATTAAACTTTGCATTTCAATATTAAAAGCATAACTAATTGTGGACTTTTATTTATATAATCGTCTAATTAAGCTACTACTTACTGTTTTCAAGGTCAATTTTTGGGGTCCCCCAACGTCCTTCTTGTCAATTATTTTATGGGGGTGACGGTTACGGTTTGATGGCTTTAGACTTGACAGATTTAACAGTTCTTGCCTTCTTAGCTTCGAATTCGAGATTCAAATCACTTGTTGCGGTACTCGCGATCAGTTCTCAAGCGAAATGAAGCTCGGTCTATTGATTGCATTAGCTGGATTGTCTGTGGCAGCTGCAGATTATCCATCGAACGTAAGTGCTGATATAAAGAGAAAAGGATTCCTTTGAATAATCACATAAATGGTATGCAGAATCCACTAGAGCTTATTACACAGCTGGTGAACCTGGAAAATGAGAATCAAAGACTTCAGCAGCTTATAGACAACTTAGTACAGCAAGTAGCTGACATTCGCTACAAGAATCAACTGGTTGTACATCTCAAGATGGTGGAGGAAATACTTAAGAATAAGTGCAATACCGTAGTTGGCGGTGGAGGTGGATGTACCAGTGGTAGATGTATCATTGGTGATGGTGGTGGTGGTGGTTCAATAGTGAACCTTCAATATTTCCATGATTTATTGAATTTTGTGAGGCAATTGAAGCTGATCATTCAAACTTTAACTAGCAATGCGAATTCGTTGCAATATACGCTGCAAAACTTCTGGAATCAATTGAGACACAAGTGCTACGGCTTATTTGGGCCTCCTAATGTTGTTGGAAAATGAGCTGCAGTGGAAGACCAAACTACAGAATCATAAGCTTTTTGTGGACAAATATGTACAGAGCAAGCTGCATCGATAAATAAACTACTTTATTCCTTGAGCAATTTTAATCTGATGTTTTATTCTCTGTAAGATTCACTTTATACGTTATGTAGCCCATTGGCGCAACGTCGCATAAATTTGGATTTTCCATATTTTATGGGGCTGACAATTATAGATTGATTTTGTATTTTCGAATATTATCTTCGATCTATTAATTGCAATAGTTGGAGTTTACGTTTTCCGACAGTTATAAAAAAATCAGCGAATTTAATATATAAAGGCTATGAAAGAGATGAAGATGTTGGAGCAGCTAGCACATCCAGCAATTGGAATACGTAATTGAAGTCATTCAAGGTGCAAGCGACAATCTACAATCTAGTAACTGCCCAACACGTCCAACCAGCATGGAGTCATGCGTCCCGGCTGGCTGGTTATACAGCGACGCATCGATGCTTCCGAGAACTTCTATAAAAGTTTGGACTGGTACCTCAGGGACCTCGGTACAGCAGCTCATTCCTTTTGTATTGAGTGTGACGAAAATACTTATGGATTTGCCATGCCAAAAAATTATTACATATGTATATCAATTTATTCTAGAGCACTATAAAAATGTATAACAAATTCGATTATCTGCCGTTCGCTTCGTCCAATCTGGCAATAATATGCTATGCATTAGAGCTACTGACAAAGTATATATATATATATCAGTATAAAATATTGATCTTTAATAATACCAACAAAGAAAATGGAACAATATTTGTATATTTAAGTTTTTATTTATTATTGTGTGCCATTTGCGTTAATTGCCAATGAAGAGACGACCTTTTAAGGGAGTTAGGTTCAATTTTGGAGTTTTCGTAAATGGGCGATAGATGTTGTTGACATTATTAATAGATGTGAAACTACTTGACAAAATTAGGATTCTTCTTCAAGATGACAAAGCCTTCCATGACGGGTGTTAGCGAAATATACTCATCGGTGGCCAATTCGGCGCGTTCGCCAATTGCCAGCAGCACGGGCGTGGTGTGTGTTTGGAAGCCGGTTATGGTCTTCGGCTTGCCCGCCTGGCCAACCACATCGATGGCAATGCCCACACGGACCGGCACCTGCAGCTGGTTGAGCTCCTCATCGAAGGTGATCAGCATGCGTGCCTGCATTGCGGGCACCAGGGTGTACAGCAGATAATGGGAACGATTGAGGATCAGATTCTTGACATCAAGAAGCGATACCAAGGTGGCCATCAAGCCAGCAACGGCCATTGGATTCATTAACTGGCGATCGCTGTGGTACGGGCTGAGGGAGAGTGTGCCCTTGCCCAAATGTGTCAGACTCTGGGCAATGCGCACCATGAACAGATTGCTCGGATCCTTCGAGTGGTACTGGGCCAACTGGCGGAGCATCGAGGCGAGACGTGCATTATTGGTGCCAGCACCCACCAGTCCCATGGCAAAGATGGCATTGTGCGCCACCTCTGCGTCGCTGTCGTGCGAGAACTTGCTCAACGTATCGAGAATGTTCAGCTTTGGATTGGAGGCAGATATCAGACCCAGAGCCAGCGGCACGGCACGGCGAATAGAGGGCTCGCAGTAGCGCAACAGATTGCCGAACGAGCGATACGCCATCTCGGACCCAATGTCCTCGCCCATGGCAATGAGAGCAATGCCCAGCACAGCGATCGATTGTGTGGCGGACAGATCCTTCTCGCGCTCCTTTTCTTTTTCCTTCTCTTTCTCCTTCTCCTTCTCCTTATCCTTTTCCTTCTCCTGCAACCGAAACATGATTAGCTTACAGAAAACTGAGCTAAGTGAGACATTCAATTACCTTCTCCTTGCTTTTGTCCTTCTTGCTCTTCTCTTTCTCCTCATCGGCGCTGGTGGACTCGTAATGGTCAGAGCAGATGTGCAGCAGCTGTTGAATTTTGAGCACGTTGCCAGTGCCAGCATAAGCACAGATGTCGACCATAGTGGTGGCCATGCTGCGGTACGGGTCCTCCAACACCTCCAGTGTCATCATGACGGCCTCTGTGGACTTCTGGCGTCCCAAGTAGAGGAGACCCAAGCCCAGCCAAAGGAAACGCGTATAGGTATCCTTCAGATCAGCCTTGGTCAGGCCCATGATTGTCTGCAGCAAGATCTCGGTAATCTCAGCATTGCACGAGCCAACGCTTATCAATCCCAGCGATAGAGCAGTTATGCCCAGAATCTCAACACTGGCGGTGGTCTTGCCATTGCTGGCAAATATCGTCTTCAGCGTATCGATGACAATAGCTCGGTTCGAGCCGGCATAGGCGATGCCCAAGCCCAAAATAGCGCCAATGCGCATGCACGTATTCGGATTCTCAATATAATCGGAGAGCAACGCGTGTGCCGGATCCACTTCGTTGCGTATTCCGCAGTTTACAATGCCGCAGGCTAGCAAAGCGCCTGACTTGATGTTGTCGTCGGTGGAGTAGAGATATTTATCAATCATGGTCAAGCCACCATCCACATCCCAGAGCAGAATCAGACCCAGGGAGGCTGTGGCCGAGAGCATGCCATGCTCTTTATTCTTGTACAGCCACTTATTGCCATCCTCCGAGAGCAACTTGTCCACACCAAATCCCGCATTAACAAATCCATTGACAAAGCTGGCAGCCAAATTCTGTTTAGCCGAATCCACCTGAATGGATGCAAAGCGCGAGCGAGAGTTGTCCAAATGCGATTTGTAGATATCCTCGGGAGTCTTTGGCTCCATAATGTCCAGCTCACGGGCCAAGTTCAAGAAATGCTTATTCAAATTTGCATTGGACATGATTTCCATTAAATCATCATAGTCCGGCAGGGACTCATCCAGATCCAGGCACACCTGCTGGCGAGCGAGCATGAAGGCCAGTTGTTTCTGCATTGCTGGCTCCTTGGGCTCCTTAAATATTTCGGTAATCTTATCCATATCGTTTAGCATCAGGGCCAGTCTCATGGCCTGCGTGTGCTGGTGGAACTTCCGGGCCAGCTGCAGAGCGGTCTCTAGAATGATCGTGTTGTCCGGTTCGGGTACGTAGGGGTAGCAGGACTGCAGATACAGGCACACACGAGGATAGGCGGACTCATCCACATATTCGGCCAGCAAATGCAAATGATCAATCTCGATGAGCAAATCGCAGGCATCGGCCTCTGCATTATGCTCCATATCGTATGGAATTATCTGCTTAACCAACTGGATAAGCTGAGTGCGGAACTCACCGGTTGTATCGTGATAGTGTGCCGAAATTTCACCAGACAAATGGCGCACATATTCGTGACCCCAGTCGCCGATGGCCTGGGTGCGATCGCAAAGGAAACGATAGGCAAGACAATCCTTGCCGCTGCCCATGGTCATGGAGAGCACTGAGATGATGTCAGCGCACAGCTGACGCGAGCGTTCATCGGGCATATGCTTGTACACCTTTTTCATGGTCTCATAATGCGGACGCATAAATTTCAGCGGCTTGGGCACCGATGTCATCGAAGTCGTCGAGGCGCGGATCAGCTTGGCCATCATTTCGAGTGCTGGCTGATACAGTTGCTTGTCTTTTTCCTGCAAACGCAACACCAACATCTCCAGCTCTTCCTTCAGTTGTTGGTCCTCATCGGACAGTTCAGGCTGCTCTTTTTCATCCTTTTTGGTCTTGCCAGCTTCATTTCCCTTGCCTTTAAGTTCCTTGGCATCGCCAACAGGCTTTTTCTCCAGCTTGGTTTCACCAGTCATGCTGTGTGAGCCCTTTCTTTAATTTTACAAATATAAAAAAGTATTTTGTTAATAATTCGGCGTTCACTTTTCTCCGCTTATTCTCTTTTTCTTTTCTTTACTACTCAGCAGAATTACAAAGCGCTTTTTGAGCTGTCAAAAGCATGAATTGCCAACTATTTTTTATTAGTGATGTGTAAGAATGGAAATATCATTGTTCCACAGCCACAATATTTATCGATTCTTTCGATTTATTGCCACGCTAAAATGCATTTTACAGCACTGACTTCACTTTTAAAAACACATGTTTTGATTTATTTTTGCGGCATTTTGTGGAAAAGAAAATGTTGCGAATCACACAAACTAAAAACACGCTCCTCGATGGCGCAACTATAGCAGATCAACTATATGCGACACCTAAGGATTGTGAAGATTTCTTTGAAAGCCTTGAAAAACCCACTGAAGTTGTTCCCATTCCACGGTCAACCTGTGAGATCCCCTCATATCTGCAGCTTTTCTGTTTTATTTACCAGCTTATCCCCTTTATAGTTATACGCGCTGGCGTTTTAACAACAGTTCGTGGCTCTGCGTATATGGAATATGGCAATACCAAGCTGATGGCCATTGTAGCGCCGCCGCGCGAATTGGTTCGTTCAAGTGCTCACCGTGTAAGCATGGGCGTCATCAATTGCTACGTGAATTTTGCAGCCTTTGCCACTGGCGACCTCGAATCAGTGCCGGAGCGTGAGAAACATTTGGGCAGCATGCTAACAAAGGCACTGGAGCCACTTGTCTGTCGCAATGAGTTCCTCAATTTCCAGCTGGACATTCGAGTGCTTATATTGGACGACGATGGCTGCCTGCTGAGCACCGCCATCAATTGCTGTGGCGTTGCCCTCATAGAGTGTGGCATATCCACATACGATTTGATTACGGCATCCACGGCATGCATCTATCGTGGCTACGTGTTTCTCAATCCCAGCGCCAAGGTCGAGGAACTGCTCTGGCAACATCGAGGCGGCAATGCTTTGCTTGGCAGCAGCAGCGCGAGCAGCAACAAAGATAATGCGGTACAGGAGCATGGCCTGCTCATCAATGCCAGCATGGACAGCTTTGAACAGCTGGCGCAGTGCCAGCAGTGCGGTTACCTTAAGCCCGAAACCTACGTTCGACTGCTCGACTACACGCTGGAGATCAACAAGTCGCTGAGACATCTGATTAGACGAGTGCTCAGCGACCGAGTCAAGGAACAGCACCTACTGGATATGCGGGAACAGGAGGAGGAGCGCCTGGAGGATAAGCGACTGGCGACAATTATTGAAAGGCTGAAGCAACAGGGTCTCCACGAGTTCATACAATCCAACATTAAGGAAGACCAGTATGCAAAGAAATAAATGATGCGTCTAGTTGTACATAAAACTGAATGTTTATAATTTTAAGCTTATCACCTAAACTTGTAACAAATTTTGTGGCCTAAACAGCTGCGTTTTAATATTGTTTACAACCACACCAGCACTACTGCTGATCTGTGGAGGCCTCCAGCACGGCGCCGGAGTAGGCTAGATCCCAGTAATGTTCAACCTGATGCTTTTGAAAGAATTCGCGCGCCATTTTCTCCATTGGAAAGATTTTGAACTTGATTTCGCCAAAATGACGGCGCTGACTTGTACCCTCCCAGACGAGCACACATGAGTTGGGCACATCCTGCCCATCGTTGCCATTTACCATGTCCTCCTCCCACTTAATGCGATGCAACATGAGCCGGCGGTACTTTTTCTGCTGCTTGGGCCCACCCTCGACGACGACGACGCAGCAGTCACGGAATAGGACGACGCTGCCGGTCATTTGCAATTGTTTGGCATTTGTTTCGACTTTGAACTTTTTGCTTTGGTTATCCTGTAGATCGCGTATACGATAGACGCTTACGTGGACACCGCAGCTGGTGTCTTCCTTCAGCTTTCGCTGTTTCTTTTCGCTCTTCTGTTCGCTGGTCAGTTTCCGTGCATTGTTGGCATCCTCGTGCGCCTTCTGCCGCTTGGCCATTTGCTCGCGCACATGTGCCTCGATTTTGGTGGGGTCCTGCACAGCGTCTGTGCCCAGCACACGCATCAGATTCGATATACGCAGCTTTGGCTCCGGTGGCGCCACCAAACCCAAACGTATCTTTTCTTGCTCTTCTTTCCAGGCCTCACGTCGATTCTGTCGACGCAGCTTTTTGCGTTCCTTTTTGGTAAGAAAGACGGGCAAGTAAACAGGTTTCAATGGCTCATCTGGGAATGGGAATGCAATTAATATCAGCTATAATGTTTTGGTTTAACCAAATGGCTTTGATACTTTGAGAAATTATACTCACTTGGCGGCTTCATTTGTGTGGGATGCTCGATAAGATTACTAATGGCAGTTTTACGAATGCTAATCTTGCCGCTCGTCTCATCTACTGTCTGCAAATCCTGGGTGAGAATGACTGAATCCCACCACTCCATAGCCGGCACATCATCGGGCATATCCTGCTTGGGGGCAATCAATGCCAGCTTGGTGGCCGATGAAATGCCCGTCTTGCGAGCTATTTGAGATATCTCGTTTTGCAACCGCTCCAATTGGCTCTTCATGCGCATACGCTCTGCCAGCTGCTGGAATTTGCCGGGCTCATGGAAGCGCAAGGTGCGTTTATTCCGCACTGTCGGTTTTTGGGCAATCCGATCATCAAAATATTTAATGGCCTCGTCCTGCCCAGCGCTGGCTGCACCGCTATGACTGCTACCTTCGCTGCCCGTTGTCTGGCGCTGGAACACTTCCCGCTTCTTGGCGCGTATATTCGCCTTGAGCGTGGGCGTCACTGTGGGTATATTGATGGCACGTCCACTCTTGTCCACTGTTCGTCCCTCCTCATCTAGGATTAGGGGCTTGGGTCGCTCCTGCTGCTGTTGGGCAGCGGCAGCAGCTGCTGCCGCCACAGCTGTCGGCTGTTGCTGAATGAGATTGGCCAGATTTCCCGTTAGTTTTGCCCGTATTTGGGCTTGCAATTCTGCAATCTTTTTGGCCTTTTCCGCGTCTTCAGGTGTCGGCTTCTTGGATAGCGCCTGGGTGGCCAGCGCAACTGGCATTCCTATCTGAGGCACAGACGCCAACAAAGGATCCTTATCACGCAGATTGCTAAGAGCACGCTTGCGCTCTTCGATCTCGCGCTGCGCATGTGCCATCATCAGTTTGATTTGTGTGGAGCTCAGCGAGGAGGCCATCGCATCGATGGGCGGCGCCCCACCATTCTTCTCCTTGACATCGAATCGTGACTTCTTTGGAACCGCATCGACGCCGACGTCGGGGCCAGCAGCGCTGCGTTTGTTGGCTGTAGCTGTTTTCGATTTCTTTTCGTCGGCGTCGGCGCTTTCTGCATCCTTGCGCGTTATAATGGACGACATAATATTCGCAATTAAATTGATCTGGCTAAAGACGTTATAGTTATTTACCAAAAAACTTTGCACATTCCGCTTAATCCGCAATGCTTTTCTTTATTTTTGTCTAGAATGTTTATCTGCAGAAACGTTTACGTGAAAATTTCTTTGGCAAAAAGACAGGGTTACCACATTCTTCTTTCGACTGGCAGCAAGAATTGTGTTCACATTTGAACTGGCTTAATCGAACTAGAACAAGAAATTAACTGCACAGTTAGATATGGTTACACCAAAAATACTTTGAAAACATAACATTGATTGCCAATTTAATAACAAAAAAATATCTCTGTTTAAATAAGGTTTTTAGCTCACTTAATGTTGTAGTTGCTTATTCACAGTTCGTATCGATAACTGCTCGTGAATTTAATTTTCACCGGTACACGCCATATTTTTTGAGCGAAGCAGTCTCCGAAGCTATCGATTGTGGCTCAATCATCTAATTTATAAAATATTAGATTTTGTTGTGTTTTAATAAGTCTTCATTCATTTTCTTTGGGTTCTCTTCAAAACAAAGTTGAGTTTTGTAATGATACAATTTTTACAAAACAAAATAATAAATAAATAAACTATCGATTCTCTCAAAATATCGATATTTTCCCATCTCTATGGAGAAGCGTTTCGTATATTTTTTTTCTCGTCGTGTCTGTGTGTGCTTAATTATTTGTTGTGAAAATTAGGCGCTTTTATTGTGCATAAAACGGTAAAAAGTTGCATTTAACTGCAAGCATGGCATCAGAGGAAGAGAATGATGATAATTTCCAAGGTGAGTGCAAAGTTTTTATATGCTTTTTATTATGCTGAAAATTTTTCGGCAGAATCAGAGTACCAAACCGTGGTCATGTTCAATCGAGCAGCAGGCGTCAGCGGCTGCCGACGATGTCTCGTTGCCGTTGCCGCGCTACATTGTTTTTCTTATTATTGTTTTCATTTGTTTTTGTTGTGATTGTCTATTATCTACATTAGGGAATGATGTTTCATTTGTTGTAGCGGTATATTGTTACATATTTTATGAAATTTTACATATGACGCGCGATATCTCCAATTTTTGTCTCCTTCATTCTAGACAAATTTATTATTGCATTTTGTGTGCCATGTTTCGCAAATGCAGCTCCGATTCGGTATATAGCCATCTCGCTCGCACATAAAAAGTGTTGGCGAGCACAAAACATATGTTTTACCGTCTTGTTTTGCTCGTTCTTTCTGTTCGAAATAATGAGCGCGCGATTCGAAGAAATCGTGTTAAATAAGAAATAATAGAAAAATGCTGATATTAGAAAAGATAAGACTTATATTTAGTAATATTGTATGAATCAATATTATTGGGGTGATTGGTATTATAAACCATATGTGGTTTTTTCGTAGCTAGGAATGAATTTTACATGAAACATTTCTCGCAAAAGAATCGTTTTTTTATATACCAAATGAAATGGTATATTGATAAATTTCGTATTCAATTTTAATTTTTAAATAAAGTATTGTTTGAAAAACTACCGTTCGTTGGATTAAATGTGGCACTAAATAATACCAGCTATATGGGCACAAGTGTTTGCATTTATTTGCAAATTATTGGTAATTCTGATGTTTGTGCAATATAGTTAGCTCGCTCTATCCCATATAATTTTGTATGGGGGGAGAATATTTATGTGAAATATTCGTGTGTACACACTGCACTTGCGCGATGTCGGTAACACTCGTTCACTCTCTCAGCTCACAAACGCACTCGCAACCGCAACCGACGATAACGCCGCGTGAAGTGGGCTGCTTTGGAAATTTTACGATTCATTGTTGCTTGGACGTGGCAGCCATGACGTGATTTCTGACTTTGACTAAGAAAATTTTTTGTTAAAATTACATTTGTAAATTATAGAAAATTAACTTAAGGGGAATACGTGCATTATTAAGCCAGCAACAAGAGCTCAATTAAGTGTAAAATTAAAAGTGTGTGAAAACTATTGCAATCTATATCTAAAAAAATATTGTGTAAGAAAAAATGAGAGAAATATACACATACATATGCATATGCAAAATAAAATTGAAATGTGTCCAATATGGAAAATATTAAATTTATATTCTGGTTTCCGCTTCTTCCCGTTATGTCGTGTTTTACTTTGTTGATTGATTTCTCCACTTTTGGGTCTTGGGCGGAACGACGTTTAATCTGTCCGTTTAAATGTGACACAGCAGTTGCCACCATTTACATTTAAAGTCGCCGTTCAATATCATTAACGTAGCCGTGTATTATATTTTATTTAAGTGTATACATATGTACATACATGCAAATACATACATATATTCTGTCGTCTGCTTGCGTGCGAGAGTTGATTCGCTTGTGTACGGCAAGAGCAGCAGCTCCCTCGCAATGCGAAGAAGCTCACATACATACATTTGTATGTACGAAAGGTATATGTATGTGTGGATTGTATATACGTGTGTGTTATGCACGCGCGCGCTCCAGCAGCACTCGTCCTCGTCGTCGTCGCCCTGTCTCGCTCACGCTCGTGCTCAACCACCAAAAACGTCAACCAACCGCTCTCTCAACGTCGTCGTCGTCTTGTCGCCGACGAAAATCAGCCGCTGTCGATGTCGCCAACACCACCGCCGCCGTCATTATTTGCGCGATTTCAATTAATTTATAAATAATTATACTTCCAACAACAAACACATGAATAAATCGTCAGCAATATCAAGTTTTGTGCATGTATAACAATTGCAAAAAAGTGCTTCAACTTTAAAATAACGAAAAAAAGAAAAAGAGGCGAACACACAAAGTAAGCAACCGAGGGTGGTAAAAAAGGGAACAAAATTCGATGGAATGTTGACAACAACAACAACAGAACTACGCCGGCTCGGAAATATATAATAAAAGAATAATGTGAATCTACAATATTCCTTTCACTCGGTAGCTGACGTTTACTATTTTAAATTTTTCATGAATATCCCCTTGCCATCACACACTGTTGCATTTAGCTGGAGCTAGGTATTGTATGTGGGCAGCAATTTTCCATATCTAAATTGAACGTGTGATGTGCGCGCACATCCCTTTGTTGTTTTTGTTTAGGGTTATATCGATTAAATAGCCACCTATCGATAGTCGGTCTATGTAAATTGTTGAAATGGATGTAGAATGATTACTTATAACAATAACAAACAGTGCATTCGCCGTGACGTCAGTATATGCTCTCTTTTCTCTCATTGAATTGTCTCGCTTATTTCACAACTCGGCATTCCAACAGCTGTCTGCGCGCATTAGACTATGGTATGAGAGGGGATTTTATATCGTGCAAGGCCTAATTCACGCCAAATATAGAAAAAATAAATACAAATTAATAAAAAAAAAAATATAGGGTTTCACTCAAATTAATTTGTATGAATTTTTGTGTATTTTTCATTCATTATTATAATTTCTCTTTTCTCTGCTGAGCTGTTGGTTGTTAATAAAAAGAAAGTGCTTCTATTCTATATACATATATATACGTTTTGGCTAAACACATTGATTTAACATTTCATAAATTGCTGAAACGTCTAGGAGTAAATGAGAGAGGGACTGACACCACAAGCATAAACGCGCCACTTCCCAAAAATGAGAGAAACAGCGACAGAAGGAGATTGAGTGGTGGGAGCGTCTCATGTGAGTGCAGCCCAGTTGTTTGCCGATATTGCTTAGAATATACACTGATACACATATTAAATAGGAGGAAAGAGAACAGCGAGCTCTCTCTCAGCACACAAAATGTGAGTGTAAATGCAACTCCATATGCCAGGTGCCAAGTACCAAGTGCTTTGACGCATGTAGTTGTTACTTGTGTACTTTGTGCTTGCGTAGATAAGCATTCAGTGCACTTTTCGCTAAATGCTGCTGAATTAACAGGAAAATGAAATAATAAATTAAAATATACAAAATGTTCGTTGATTTTATTCATCTTCCGAGGTATTTATTGATTTGGAATCAAAAACAAAAGATCACGTTTAAGGTCAAACAGCTAAAGGTCATTTGGTTTTTGAATAACTTAAAATATCTCAAATTAATCCAAATTGTAGGCATTTCGATATTCTTTTTGTTTCGATAACCCAATTTCAAATGCATATCTCGATCACATTGCACACACACGAAAGCAGCTTTTTTTTTACCTACCTTTGTCATTTGTGTGTGGAGACACTGATTTTCTATAATTTGTATTTTCGCTCGCTGTTGCTGAGGGCCTCAAACACACGCATTTACACACACAAGCTGGCGCGTGTGCATGTGTGTAAGTATATACAAACAGAAAACTTGCATAAATCTGTTGAAAAAATATAAAAACTACTACAAAAACACCAGCGTGGCGCCCCAACCAAAATTAAATTCAATACAAGAAGTGAAAGTATTATATATATATATATACATATATATATATATATGTGTGTGTATCGGATCTTGCCTTGCTTTTGAGCATGCCAGAGAGCAAGTAGCAGCGTTGATAGTCATGCATTGTGATGCTGTCACGCTCGCACATATTGCATTTAATCATGCCAAAACAAGAAGCAGCCAACAACAAGTGGTATTATTTTCTGTACATGTAGTTGAGTGCTTAAAGTTGGCATTTAAAAAGTTTACTTGAGCTTAAACGATCTAAATTGTAAAAAAAAGGCATGTTAAAACAGCGGGCAACCTGCTAAGCTAAGCTGAAAAAATTAGTAATGGTAATATGATTTATTCCAAATAATTTTATTTTGTTGGAATTTCCGTCAAATATTTTATCCACACGTCCGTGTCTAGTTCAGAGAATGGCTCTCCCAACGATGCTGTATTGTAGGGGATATTTCTCACTTGATTTTTAGTTGTATTTAACGCGAATCTGTATAGGCATGTGCAAGTGTATGTGTGTATGTGGTGTGCTTTGTGTCAGTTGCTATTGCTCTTAAATTGCTTTTGTATTGTACAAGTACACAAAAATACAGCGAGACAGACAGACGGATATTGTTGTTGCTTGTTGTGCATGCGAATGAAATCGGCAGCGTTTGACATTGATTACCGTAATACCTTGTATATGTATGTATGTATATTGTGTGTCTGTGCTTTGCGGTTGCTTTTTTTTTTTATATTTGTGCAACTACGCGCTGTTGTCTTTTTCACCTATTTACTGTAATTGTGTTGTTGCTCGATCACGAGCGGAGAAGGAGAAGGCCGTATCGCTTCTCGT